TTGCATTCAACAGCTACTTGTTTGGCAAACTGTTATCATCCATGGATTAATAAGCCACCGGAATGGACAAGGACTTTGTCCTTCTATTTTTTTTTTTTTTTTTTTTGGTTTTGCTTTAAGACCACGGACACCAAATTTTACCTTCCAGCTGAAATTAGAGGTCACCACCACGACCAAGTAGTTGGGTAAATTAATTTTCATTGCCATGAAGAAAATATATGCATGTTGGTATTCCCGTTCCATCCATTCCATGATGTTTGTACCATACTTGACTAATCTCGAAATTACTAAGCACCGGTCAACATTATACTGTTAATGACTCAGAAGAGTTTCCCTCCAACCAGGAGGTCAATCACAGCGCGACACGTGTCGACATCAGAAGCCAATCATAGCGCGACACGTGTCAACATTAGAAGCCAATCACAACACGACACGTGTCAATGTCAGAATGAAACTAGAAACTCTCTTCTATAAATAGATATCATTCTCTCACAATATTTCCTAATGTCATTTGTACTAAATCATTCACTAGTACTCACTAAAGGAGAGCTTGAACCTATGTACTTGTGTAAACCTTTTACAATTAATGAGAACTCTTCTACTCCGTGGACGTAGCCAATCTGGGTGAATCACGTACATCTTGTGTTTGTTTCCCTGTCTTTATCCATTTGTATACTTATCCATACTAGTGACCGGAGCATTCTAGCGAATGTCACAAACTTAACACTTTTTATTGTACCAAAGTCATCGCTGATTTTGTGCATCAACACATGATAAGGAAGCATGTTGTAACAACTAATTTGAAAGTGCTTTTAAAATGATTGAGACCGCTTTTAGAGGAAAACAATTTAGTTCCAAAAACAATTCAAGGGTTTAGTCTAGTATCATTTTGTCTTCATTTAATTAAAAAATATCTTAACTCCGACTCAAATAAAATTGCAAAAAAATTGTATTTATACCATCTGGTTTACAAAGTCATGTATACGAACGATAAGAGAAATGCTAAGGAGATTATGTCAAAAAGGGGACTTTCCGCCACCTCATTTTCTTAGTACAATTTTCATGCAAATATTACAAAATATTGTGAAAAAAACATGAGTTGGCGGAAAGAATTGTTGAGGATAGAATGGTTCCAAAAACATTTACACAAAAAACACTTTTAATCACTTTTAAAACAATTCTAAACGAGTCCTAAATTTGTTTTCTTTTTTCCTTGTTGATTTTTATTATTAACAAGTCATGTCTCTTTTTCCTTATTGATTCATAAGTCAATCCACATGACGGGTTTAGTCTAGTAGTATTTTATCTTCACTTAATTAAAAAAATGTCTTAACTCTGACTCAAATAAAATTGAAAAAAAAAATGTATTTATACCATCTTGTTTACAAAGTCATATATACGAACGATAAGAAAAATGCTGAGGAGGTTCATTTAAAAGTGGTACTCTTTGCCACATTATTTTTTTTGATACAATTTTTATACCAATATTACAAAATATTATACAAAAAAATATGAAATGACAGAGAATCTCTTACCATGTCGTGGACAATAGTTGCGATAAAAAAGAAAATACGATCGATGATTTGGCGATGGCGAGACATGTGTAAGCAGTCCATTGTGGAATGTTGAGACCAATGCTTTATTAGCCCGACACCCTCGCACCTACTTTTGGTGTAGAAAATAAAACAGGGATAAGCGCCTTGTTGTCAGATGCTCGTTTACTTGGACAGATTATCCACAGTTTTCTCACTCTCATTACTTGTAATTTGTATCTCAAAAGGAGCAAAAGATAGGGTAAAAAAATTGATGGGATTCGCATCTAAATGCCTTATAATTTGGTTAAAGAATAATGATAGGAACACTAAATTTATAGATAAAGTTTTGAAAACTAAATGATATAGAAGTTGATGATTGATTTATTACTTATACGTCGATAAACGTGCTTATTCTTATTGGTGACATATAATTTAATTTACAAATTTAGTCTTCAAATTTGATCTCCCTAGCATTACCCTTTGGTTAAAACCAAACAAAACACAATACTCACATCATATATAAAATTGAGTTCTTGATAGAGAAAGTTAAAGGTGACTCTCTCAAAGTAGGATTTTTTATGAACTCTCTGTCACCTTATATTTTTAACATAATATTTTATAATATTGGCACGTTAATTGTGCTAAAAACATGAAGCGGTGAAGAGTCTATGGAGTGTCCAACTTTTAAAAGAGTCTTCTTAGCATTTCCCTTATGATTAATGAATATAATTCACCGTCGAAAATCATTGCAACAACAGCTGAGAAGCTTTTTATAATGTTTTTTTTTTAATATATATTAGTATTTTTTGGACTTTTTAGTGTTCCCCGATATATAGCATATATAAAAAATTTTAGTCATGAGATCTTCAGTTGTCAGATCCATTTGAATCCCGATTCATCTGATACATGTTCTATATTGTAGTCAGTGTTCAAAATATCCACAAATTGTTGATATTTCCATTGAAATATTGGAAAAATCAAAACTCCATATGGAGGGGGAGGGGGTAAAACGAAAACTTCATCCTATATCAATGAAATATAATGAATATTGACAAAATTTCATAAATTTTTTGTAGGAATACAAAGTAGATTTTGAACTTTTTTTTGTGAGAATTTTTTTCTTTAATTTCGACTAAATCTGAATGAGTTGATATACACATCGCATTACAAATTTTCATATAAAAAACAATCCATATCAATACCGATATTGAGATATATCCATCGATATTTTTACCTATATAGATATTTTAAACCTAACTTTAGCAATAGAATTTTCGTGTAATTCTTTCCTCTATAAATTTATAATCACGAAGTTTCCTTCTTCTTTTATTTTTTTCTGCATCGATTCTCATGAAAAGGAAAAGAGAATAATAATTCGAGAGATTGAATTTGTCAAAGATAGCATGGCAATGGAAAAGCACCGTCGGCCTGGCCATGCCATCTGGCGTTTTATGGTTGCCAAAGGATTAGGATCCTCTCCTGAGCAGATGGAGAGGATCCTCCTGACCAAGGACATCGGATCGTTCATTTTTTATTCAACGGTTATGATTATTATAATTTTTAGAAGGTCCCCTATTTGTAATCGTTAGATAAAAAATGAACGGTCCAATGGGCCTGATCAGGAGGATCCTCTCCATCTGCTCAGGAGAGGATCCTGATCCGTTGCGAAAAGTCTGGAGGCGTTTAAAAGGTCGAACGAAAACGTGTCAAGAAACTGGAAGCTGCGTTTCTCACGCGGACTATTATTCTTATTATTGTTACTTAATACTTTTTATTAAAATTATTAATTGGCGGCTTTTAATATTGTAATTCAAAGTCCAATTAATCCCAAAAAATAACGCCTCCGTCGTTTCATAATTCTTCACCGTAACTGTCAGTAAAACGACGGCTCCCTAAAAAAAAAGAACTGTTATTCTCTCTTTTTTCTTTAATTTGTTTTAGATTATATATAATATATTTAATTTACACAAAAGAGCTGTTATTATCTCTTCCTGTCTTTCACTTTCTTTTTGGGTTTTTCTTGTTGACCAATTCTGATTAGGTTTCTTCTTAAATATTCTAGTTATAATACTAAAATAAATTGAATTCAGGTAAACTTAATCCGTTAATTAATAATTAAATTAAAATTTAATTTTTAATAATCATATTTTTTTTTAACATACGATAATATTTAACTAAGGGATTGAGGAGGTAGGTTAAGTCTTATAATAGACTTGCCATAATAATGCGGTCCAACTTTTTAACTTGACAATAATTGAACCTAAAACTTATAAATGAAGATGAATACCGTTATACCGTAGTACTAATATTTAAACTTAACATTGTTGCTAAAAATACCATAATTTTCAACAACCATGTTAATTTTACAAAATTTAGTTTAAAAAAAAAGATTTTTCTAGTATTATTGTACTTTTTTTTACCTTAATTACGATTAATAAAATAAAAGGTTTCTTTCCAACAAATATAATAAATACTTTGACAAAAAAAAAATATATAATAAATAAATTCCAATAATAAAAAATGAGAGTTTACTTGAAACTCAAATTCCAAATTTGTTAGACAGATTGAGATGGGAGAGCTGCACCCCCTACCTCGTCGCCATGGTCTAGAAGCTTCAAAGTCATGAGTTCATATGACCTTATAGGTTACCAGCCTTCCCCAACCCATAAATTTAACCCAGACGGAGTCCGATCTCTCCTCTCTCTCTAACTTCTCCCTTCTTCATCCCTATCTGCTTTGTACTTCAATTCCTGCCACGAAAACCTTCTTGTTTCTGGATTTGTTCAAAGTGATTTGCTTTTGGTTTCTGATTTATATACATACATACATATATATATATATATATGTCTATCAGAAGCAGCTTCTTAGCAGGAATCCCGTCATATGTTCAAGAGGCATATTGATATTTCGAAGTCTCGGAGTTCTCCTGGATTTCGAAACCTACAATCTAACTTGGTATTTGTCAAATTTCTTATCCCACAAGTTTGGTTGGACTTTTTCTTCTCGATCAACCCTCTGAAGCCATAACAGAAGCATTGATCATATTTTCTTGTAAATATTTCTGTTGTTAGAATGAAGGTACTAAATCAAAACCCTTTAAACTTCTTCTCAAAGCTCTTCAATTTCCAGCTCAACCTCCTCAATCTCCTCTTCTACTTCCTCCTCTTCGGCGGCGGTCTGACCCTCGGAATGGTGCTCAGCTTCTACATGAAAGACTTTTCCTTGAGTCTGCAATTAGCACAATTCTCCTTCTCGACCTCAACATCTGCATCCAATCCGCACAGCCTAATGCCGAACGTAAAAGCAGTCCAACCGAACGAGAGCTATCGTCCTCCTCGTATAGGATTGAAGGAGTATCTAAAGCCGCCGGAGGTTTTCCACGACATGGACGATGTGGAGTTGCTGTGGAGAGCTTCGATGAGTCCTCGGATTTCCGAGTATCCGTTTCCCCGTGCTCCCAAGGTTGCCTTCTTGTTCTTGGTAAAGGGTCCTGTTCTTTTGGCCCCGTTGTGGGAGAAGTTCTTCAAAGGACATCAAGGATTGTACTCGATCTACGTGCACTCGAATCCATCTTACAATGGATCGCACCCGGAAACTCCAGTTTTTCATGGCAGAAGAATTCCTAGCCAGGTCAGTTACTTTTCCTGCATAAATTTATTTGTTAGCTATCCTGCACACCGTGATCTGATGACGATTTTGGAGTGCTAATAACAATTCCGTAAATAATTAGATGCCGCAAAGGTGAGATTTGGAGGGAACATTAGTTTTGAATGAAAGATTAAGAATCCATTAAACAATGACATGATTGTGTGAAGTTGATTGACTAAAATGTTTAAACTACAAACCTTGTTGGCAAAATAAGATTAAATGCTTGACAGAGCACCTGCTCTGTTTTAGACAATCCACCTACTTGAAAGCACATATTTGGTCTAGGAGCTCATGCCTTCAAATCATCTTAGTTCTCTTAATTAATCNGGATAATTTTATAACATCAAGGCATACTGAAAGTATAGGTGAATTTGTTTTTTTTTTTTTTACATCCCACATCGTTCAGGATAATGGATCATCTATACCTTATATGTATATTCTCATCTCTACCTAGCACGATGAATTTTGGGAGCTCACTGGCTTCGGGTTCCATCGGAACTCCGAAGTTAAGAGAGTTTGCGCGAGAGCAATCCCATGATGGGTGACCAGTGGGAAGTTCTCATGTGAGTTTCCAGAAACAAAACCGTAAGGGCGTGGTCGGGGCCCAAAACGAACAATATCATGCTATGGTGAAGTCGAGCCCGAATGTGGTGGGGGCTCGGGCCGCGATGTGACAAATAGAACTGTGGTGAAGGTTTATTTTAGGAATTATAGTGAATGGACAAATAGGATTTCAAAATTTTAAATTTTTTATAGTGTGTGAGATTATAACGTGGGTAGGAAAATAAGACAATAGGGTGGGTCTATCAATACTCTAATTTTTTTATTTCTCCCCTAATAATACCTTGAAATTAGAGAATTATCAATGCAATCTTATACTAAATGCCAAACGGGGCTTCAATATTAAATTTACAACAAAATTGGATTGGACATTGTGGAGCCAAAAATAATTAAGAAAAATATGGAGGCGACACGTGGATTTTTGGGTAAAAAGACAGGATTACCTCGAGACACATCGGAACTCCTATGCGTGAGCAGCGGACAATTACCATTCAATCAAGATCAAAAGTGATCAAAATAGGTATTTATTCAAAACTTATTTCATCTATCTTCATCAAATGCTCCCCACAAGGTAACATCCAAATATTCATTCAAAATATGATTAATTACCTTAATTTATTAATTAATTTCCTAATTGATTGCAAGATATTATGGTGACATAATATCTTGCAATTACACCCAAAAACCACCAAAGGTGGCCGGTTCCCACCTCTCCAAAAGGGGCCGGCCACATCCCTATAAATATCACCTTATTTCTCCAAAAACCTAAGTTGAATCCTCTTGCAAAATTCTCTAAACACTTTTCTCTCAAAATTCTAACTTTGGCATCAGAGGTTCTTCGGCCAAAGCCCCCTATTCATTGTAAGCGCATGAGGCTTTTGGCCTTGACCTAAAGTGTTAATTGTTTTTGCATGGGCATTTTCGTCCAAGAACAAGAAGGAAGAAATTTGCATCCACAAATTTGTGCTTTCATTGAGAGTTGAGTCACACACTAGTAGAAGACTCTTGCATCCAAGGTTTTTCGTTTTATTGTTCATTTGTAAATTTTTTGTACGCTCTTATTCTTGGAATTTTTATTTCTAAAAATTATTCGAAGAAAAGTACAATGGCAAGGGATTAGGAAACCTTGACAAATTGAAATTTCAACATTCAAGAATTAGGACCGCGGCGATCTACAAGGCTCAACACAACGATGAGTGGAGCGGCACCACCCCCACGGGGAACCGCCGTGGCAACCACCACGGTGGCCACCCTCGGCAAAACCCATGGCGCCAAGGCCATGACCCAAGTCGTGCCACTTAAACCTTCAAGAGCCCAAGCCCTAGCCAGCCCGAGCCGCCCAAACCCAACGCGTTGCCAAATCAAGCCCTAGCCTCACACCCACGTGTGCCACACGCTGAGTAACCTACTCCCGTGGCCCAGCCTGCTCTCATGGCCTTCCAAGCAACCCAAATCGATCCAAGATTAGTTCAACTGTCCCTGCTTCAAATTTCTAGGCCTACAATTGAACCAAAGGCATTTTCACCACATTTATCTGCGGATTTGACATTTCCCAACTCAAATCTTGCGCCCGGAGTCTGCCACACTTCTACTACTAAATGAGACGCATTCCTTCCAAGCTCTTCCAACCCAAATGGAGAACAACACTTGTCTCGACAAGTTATAGAGTTGACGAGTGCCCTTGCACAGCAGACGACCTTGATGAATCAGCTATTGCAGTGCACTGAGATGCAACGTGCCCTAGACGAGATGTCTTGAAGTAGGATAAGGGCAAATAAATAACCTCTCCAGCAGCGTCGCAGCAAGTAGCCACGAATCGAGAGTTCGGGCAATGTACATTCCCGATTGGGCCCCCGAGATAGTGTATACTCCTGTCTTAGCATGCAGATGAGCGTGCACTCTCGACTAGGCCCATGGACGAGCATACATTCACTGTTGGGGCCACATCCCGATAGTCAACATGAGCAACCTTCCATGTGAAGTGTTCATTCGCGGTTAGGCCCACAAGGAGCATCATTTACCTTACATCGGAGTAGGCAGCACGAAGGACAGAGAAAAGTAGTCACTCAGTCCGACTCAAGCTCAACCAGCAGCC